GGAGAAAAAAAACTAGAGGAGAAAAAATAAAAGAATCCAGGAAGTTAAAGCTTTGCTAAGCAGATTCAATGCCAGGCAGAGCTGAGCTGCTACAACTGGGGAGGAGGGAGTGGGGAGATAGTAGCTAGGGAGGGAGGAGGAGGAGGGAGGGAGGAGGGTGAATTTACAGTGCAGAGTGCATTTTCCAAGATTATGTGGTTAAATCAGGCCGAGCTCCATCACTTTAGTCATGTCAGGGCCCCAGCCAGGTCCCCCTGGCCGTCACATTCTTGGCGCAATTCGCACCCCGCGTCAAATAGCCCTCTCAGGGGCTTCTCATAAATGAGGGATGGGGAGGTGGAAAGGTGGATGAGGGCGCAAGGGAGAGGAGGGAGGGGAATAGCTGGGTTAGTGTTGTTGTGTTGCTGGCTCCACCACTGCGCCATGCTGCCGCAGTAGCGAACAGATAATAAATAAAACATGGCAGCGTCTTTGCCGAGGCCCCTGTGGCACAAAGTCGCATGGCACACACACACACACACACACACACACACACAGATGCACACACCACGTCTGGCGCATCTGACGTGGCATTTTGATCATTTACTTGAGGAGTGTGGAGCCAGGGCACAGAAAGCAACGGAGGCTTTGATTGGTTTCGCTTGCTAATTGGCTTCGTCAATACTCAACAACTGAGGGCTGCCAAGCTTAATTCGTTCTCTCATTGCTTGTCATTTGGTTACTTGGTTTCAAATGGAACCTGCTTCTTTAATTTAATAAATCTAAAACAAAACTGCTCACATGGACAGAGCTAAACTAATAACTAGTCGTTAATCGACAATACTAGTCATCGTTACAGTAGCAGTATAATGCATTTTTTATTTCTGCAGTGTATTGAACTGATAGAGTTGTCTCAGTCCCGTTTATTGGGTCTGGAGTAGTCATGTCTTGTGTGTACACTAGCTGACAGTTTTCTTAATGTGTCTTAATGCGTTAACGTTGGTGTTTCGTGGGCTATAAAATGTTTAATGACTTTGAAATCCCCTCCTGCGCGTAATTGATAGCTCTCCCCCTACTGTGTTCACGATAAGCTCTCACTCATTACTCCGGACACTGCGGCTACTGCTTACCGCCACCGCAAAAACTCGGGCCCCTATTTACAATTTGCATATTAGCCATGCAACATAATACCATTTCACGCATGAAAATGAGAAACATGACGGAGGACGGGGCATCTTTTTACTATAAGGTGGCAGTTGCGGTTTATAGTTATTGGGTTTTATTTTCTCCATCCCTTCATTTGTCTACATCTGAGGCCCCTGTCACTGGTCTGCAGTGGCTGTTCTTTAGCAAGAAACTGGGAGGCTAGGTTTACACATTCTGTATAATTGCCTGACAAACATATTGTATTATGAATAAATGTGTCAACAGGTAGAATGGCGTCAATGTTCAAATAGTGCACCAGCTAATTTGATTTGGGCAGGACCTGACACATTTTTTATTACACCACATTAAGTAATACTCTAAGACTCGAGGCGAAACAGATATTTAAATATAGTGTTTTGATTGAAATTAAAGGCACATTTACATGATTTGTGTTTTCTCTAGGGGGCCACGAGGGACACAAATTAGAGTCAAACTCATTACCCCCGCACAGCTCACATTCATTCCGCCAAAATAATGAATTCAAAGTCATCCAATTGAAGACCCAGTGTGCATTTTAATTGGCTGTTTCTATATCACTGGAGTCATAAAAAAAGTGTAGATCTGCTGATGGTCTTGGCTCTGTTCATAATCCGTTCTCAAGTCAGTTTACAGTGAGTATACCAAACATTAGGAACACATTCCTAATAATGAGTTGCACCCACCCCCCTTCCCAGAACAGCCTCAATTCGGACTCTACAAGGTGTCAAAAGCGTTCCACAGGGATGCTGGCCCATGTTGACTCCAATGCATCCCACAGTTGTGTCAAGTTCGCTGGATGTCCTTTGGGTGGTGGACCATTCTTGATACACACGGGAAACTGTTGAGCGTAAAAAACCCAGCAGCGTTGCAGTTCTTGACACAAACCGGTGCGCCTGGCTCGTACTACCATACCCTGTTGTCTTGCCCATTCACCCTCTGAATGGCACACATACACAATCCATGCCTCAAGGCTTACAAATCCTTCTTTAACCTGTCTCGTCCCCTTCATCTACACTGATTTGAAGTGGATTTAACAAGTGACATCAATAAGGGATCGTAGCTTTCACCTGGATTCACCTGGTCAGTCTATGTCATGGAAAGAGCAGGTGTTCCTAATGTTTTGTATACTCAGTGTATATTCCCCAGCATTGGGATTTCAGGCATCTATTAGCGATAGTAGACTTTGTTGTTTGCCACCTTAGTGCACATAAGATGATGACACAGATTCACTAACTGTAACCAAGATTGTGAGGACAGATACAAAGGTTTTGAGGACGACATTATGTTTTGTAGGGCTATAAAAATATACTTTCCTTTGTCATTTGTCACTTCTCTTTCATATTTGCATCCGATTGATGAAGACGGAATGTTTCACTTCACAACTCAAACAACTTTGCATACATTGTCAATGCGAACGTCTTGCCTTTTGTTCTAGCGTATAATTGCAGCTTGATTTGGAGCAGAATGCAGCTTGGAGGGGAAAACATAAAACGGTGTCCTGCAAAGTGATTGATGTTCGTTATTCCCTTTGTGCATTCTCTAATTTGTGTTTCTTGTCTTACTTCATTTTCTTTTCAAAGTGTGCTCATTGGAACATTTGAGGACACCTCTACAGTATATCTCTTGAACATGAATACCTTGAGTGATGAAATCTATCAAAAAGGGGTGGACTTCTTTTTAGAAAAGTTAATATTGGTAGTACTCAGTGAAATAAATGTGGGATAAACAGTATTTACACTGTTTCATGTTTGTTCCCTCTCTCCTTTAAACTCTACAGGACACGGAAATCATTAACACTGCAATACTGACTGGCCGAACCGTGGCCATTCCTGTGAAAGTGGTCTCCATTGAAATGAGTGGAGTCGTGACCGACGTCTCGTCCTTCGTAGAGTGCAAGTCCTCTAATGAAGACATTGTCAAGGTATGGCACAGTAGTTCCCTCTTAGGTTGCAAAATTCCAGTAACTTTCCCAACCGATATTTTGCAAAACCTTGGAATTTTGGGAAAGTTACCGGAATTTCGCAACCCTATCACTCTAAGAATGATATTGTCTTGGTAATGCATCTGATATCGAATGGAATCCCACCGTACTCGTACACACCCTAATGGGCCTGCGCACACTTTAATATACCATCATGCGAACATCAAAACCTCATTATATGGCTGTCCATAATTATGTGCTTTGACTCAGTTCCTTTTGAACCCCCCAGGGATGGATCAATGGATGTTCATACTCTTACTGGTACACCAAAATCAATAGGCTACAAAGCACAGTAATAGCTCTGAAGGATGCTTTTGAAACGCTTCTCTTATCTGGCCTAGTCTGGTTGCCACCGTTTCTCCAGACCTTAGAGTTTACTTTAGCTGCATTATCTGGTGCAAGGCCTACCATCCATTTCCATTCATTTAGGCTGTATTCCAAATGGCTCCCTATGCCCTATATAGTGCACTATGTTTGACCAGAGCCCTATGTGCCGGAACAAAGGTAGTGCACTAAATAAGGAATAGGGTGCCATTTGGGACGTAGACTTAGCCCAAACACAACTCTAGCCCATTGGGAGCCCACAGCGGTAGAATGAAACATCAACTCCCATTTGTGGATTAAAGAAGCAAACCCCATAAGCAGCATTGGTAAATCCCATTTAGCTGTAGAAAGTGTTGGATAAAGGAGGCTGCAACCTCTGAAATTGAATCCAAATGTATTTGTTGATTCTCTCTGAGCGTGTTTGATGACAGCACCACGACGCCTTACAGGACATGTGAGAAAAGGATACGTGATACAGATAAAAATTATACGCCATTTGTTTATGTGGATTTAAGCATTTTTGTTCATTTGAGTATCACGTGGGATTATCGAAAGTGGAGTGCACAATTATAATACAAATTTGTTCCAAATAAATGGAGGAAAAAGCATTAGCTGTAAAATACAGCCAGAATATACAGACCGCCCCTAATCTTATACTGACATTCATATGTGTGATAAGACTAGGATCTATATGTCAGAGCGTGAATAAAAAGCATGACTTTTTTTCCATCAATCTGTTTGTGAGAAGGTTTAGAATGGTGTCAAGGCTAGCTGCATTAGCTCAGTGTTATTGAGTGGACCTTGCTTCACTGCCCCTGCCACTGAACTTTAGAGGCTAACGCAAGATGAGCCCTTCATGCTGAGATGTACATGAGTCCTGACAGTTCTATAAAACACTCCACAGAATACGAACGAAAGGTTCACAAAGACGACCCTCTAAGTTTGTGTGGTTGTATGCTCTCCCCCTTGCATTTTGTGATGCCACATTATTCCCATTATTCAAACACAGCACTCTTAATGCAGATCTATTCTAATCAGATTACTCTTATATTTTATTATTGTATTCGTGTAGCCTAGGTGAATCTGTGGGACACTCAAAACAATAGGCTCCGCTCGGTCTATAAGTAAAGCACATAGAGAATGTCTTGTTATATAAACCAAGCCGCACCATGATCACATAGGTTGTGAATTGCAAATGTGCTTCGGGTATTCGCCAACCTGCCGTTGTTCTGTTTTTGTACCCAACTTGGAAAAGGTTACGCTGTGCTCATTTCTCTTTGCTGAGGCGTTCATTTCTTTGTTTGTTTTTCCCCTTTTGAAATAAATAGGCCAGGATATATGTCAGCGCTGGCAGATAACCCAATCCCATTTGACTGTACAGTGGATGGTGTTTGCGTGCGTGTGCGAGAGAGAGAGCACAGTGGGATGGTTATTAAAGCACACATCTGTGCTCTGCTCAGACAGGGGTTTGTTGTGTTGTTTTATGTTGTGTTGTTCGGGGTGAGAGGAGTGCACGAGTACGGGAGGCAGTATGGGGAGGAGACAGGCAGCGGAGGGGGAGGCTGAGCGAGTGGAGGCGAGGGCTGGGGATTTGTCAGCGAGCAGGAGACGACATGACTCCCCCAGCTGATCCTTTCTCCCAGGGCTGTGTGTGTGTGTGTGCGTGCGTGCGTGCACTGTTCCACGCCAGTGGTCATCCAACCCTTGCTCTGGCAAGCCCTCAGTTTCCTCCATTCTGCACTCTCACACCAATGTGACACATTCACCTTCAGCCAGTGACCAGGCTTATATAAGAAATGCTTTGTGAGGCAGTGAGATAAGTACACCTGAGTGGTATACTGTCTTCAGTATTGTCTCCTTGCTGTCTGCTGTGGTATTGTATATGAGAGGTCTTGAAGAAGTTGTCTTATTATTGTTGATAGCTTCACAATGAGGATGTAATCCAGTCAATTGGAGCTTGCTGGCCAAGAAATCATGTATGAATAGATAAGGCAATGAAACGTGATGTGTTTCGCAATGAGCTCCTCTGTCGATTAATAAGTTATGGGGTATTTTTTAAAGAGCGGTCTATTGATTATCTTACCATACCTTCCATCAATTAAAGTAGGTTTTCATAATGGTAAGTACAGGGCAACAGTAACAGAACAGGGTGTGTTCATTAGGGCCCAAACGAAAATAAACAAACTGAAACAGGGAGGGACTACTTGAATTCTTCCAATAAAACATTCTAAAGCATTTTATTTTGCGTGCCCTAATGAACACAGCCCAAGTTATGTTTTATTTTGCCATCTACTGCACCTCCAGGAACCAAACAGGTGGCATTGATAGGCCTACAGTCTGCATGAGGTATTGTCATGCATTGAAACGTCTCATGCGATCACACGGAACTCATTACAGGCCTAAATCCTGTTTGGATGCACATATTGAAGTTAAGAGTGTAAGCAGAGGCTGGCCAGCATGGGATGGACATCATTAAACAGTGATCATTGTTTCTCATTAGATCCATACGCATTAGTCAGTAGAATAAGCACTATCAGGTCACCCCACCAACCTTCTGTTTTCCACATGCATGCGCCTCAACGATATGGATATAATAATAATAATAATAATAATAATAATAATAATAATAATAATAATATGCCATTTAGCAGACGCTTTTATCAAAAGCGACTTACAGTCATGCGTGCATACATTTTTGTGTATGGATGGTCCCAGGGATCGAACCCACTACCCTGGCGTTACAAGCGTCGTGCTCTACCAGCTGAGCTACAGAGGACCACAATATATACTGTGCTGCAGGCGGGTGGTGATCCTTTTTGATCCTGCATCTCTGCCTGTGGGTTTAAACTGGATGCCTGGATGCCACCATAGTTGGCAGTGCCCACCCTGTCTTTCTTTGCCCCGACCCAGTCAATCTGTTGGCACCATGGAAGGTGCCACAGCACATTAGAGTGCTGTGTAGCGACGGCAGCTCGTGGCTCCGTGCATTAAAGCACGTTCACGGACCCCCGCTGGGCTTCTGACCCCTGTAGTCATTAACAGCTTTTGACTCACAATTAGCCAGACAAGTTTATTAGCTGCCTGCAGGAGCTGGGATAGTTTGGGATGGTGCAGTTAGCGAGGGCGTATCAACAAAATGAGTGAGAGTGATAGGGAGGCTGGTGTTAGCATTAAAGTGAAGGGGAGGCCTAGAGTGGTAGGTCACAGGTGTGGAGGGTGGTTTTGGTACAGAGGATGACGGTACCTTATATGTCTGTCTATGTGTGGGTGGGCGTGCAGGTATGTCCTTTGCTCTGTATAGTATCTAAGCCTGGCAAGCAGACGCGTGCATAGATAGGGCTCTACCTGTGCAGAGCACATGCCCCTTTGCCCTTTTGGGTGGTGGTATAATTTCCCCCTAAAAATGTTTTTGTATAAATGTTTTGTCATTGTTGTTCTTGACTCAGTTCCTTTTGAACCCCCCAGGGATGGATCAATGGATGTTCATACTCTTACTGGTACACCAAAATCAATAGGCTACAAAGCACAGTAATAGCTCTGAAGGATGCTTTTGAAACGCTTCTCTTATCTGGCCTAGTCTGGTTGCCACCGTTTCTCCAGACCTTAGAGTTTACTTTAGCTGCATTATCTGGTGCAAGGCCTACCATCCATTTCCATTCATTTAGCCTGTATTCCAAATGGCTCCCTATGGCCTATGTAGTGCACTACTTTTGACCAGAGCCCTATGTGCCGGAACAAAGGTAGTGCACTAAATAAGGAATAGGGTGCCATTTGGGACGTAGCCTTAGCCAAGTAGGATGACTGGAGGCGAGGAGACGTTGCTAGTGTCTTGGGATGAGTCCCAAACACAACTCTAGTTGTTCGGAACCCACTGCCTACCGCAATTTGTCGTAACGTTGTCAAGTTCAACCCCCCCCCCATCCCATCCGTTGGTTGCACCTGTTGATCTGAACAGAGCCCGGTTGCGCCTTTTTCCCAGTCTGCCCTTTACGGAGATTGCGCGTGCCCAGTATCTAAAAATGCATATGGCTTGAGAGATGCGGACATCGGTCGAGTGTGTGCAGCTAGCTACCTAGTTTAAATATCAACAGTACTGCCCCAGCAGCATAACATTTGATTAACACTTGATAACGCTTGATTTAGCCTACATCATCATCAATATTGGGTCTGGTTGGCTGATACATGCAGCAGAGAGAGGCAGAAAGACAGAGAGAGGCCCAGCTGTATCAACTACCCTCCGATCCAACTCCATCCCTTCTTCAGTCGGGAGTTGCACATGTGTGTCAGGGCAGCAGCAACACAGGTAGTCTACACTCTAGCTAACGACCATACAAAAATATCTACACAAGCCACTAGCCAGCCAGCCATATATCATGAGTTACAGTGGGGAAAAAAAGTATTTAGTCAGCCACCAATTGTGCAAGTTCTCCCACTTAAAAAGATGAGAGAGGCCTGTCATTTTCATCATAGGTACACGTCAACTATGACAGACAAATCGAGATTTTTTTTCTCCAGAAAATCACATTGTATGATTTTTAATGAATTTATTTGAAAATTATGGTGGAAAATAAGTATTTGGTCACCTACAAACAAGCAAGATTTCTGGCTCTCACAGACCTGTAACTTCTTCTTTAAGAGGCTCCTCTGTCCTCCACTCGTTACCTGTATTAATGGCACCTGTTTGAACTTGTTATCAGTATAAAAGACACCTGTCCACAACCTCAAACAGTCACACTCCAAACTCCACTATGGCCAAGACCAAAGAGCTGTCAAAGGACAGCAGAAACAAAATTGTAGACCTGCACCAGGCTGGGAAGACTGAATCTGCAATAGGTAAGCAGCTTGGTTTGAAGAAATCAACTGTGGGAGCAATTATTAGGAAATGGAAGACATACAAGACCACTGATAATCTCCCTCGATCTGGGGCTCCACGCAAGATCTCACCCTGTGGGGTCAAAATGATCACAAGAACGGTGAGCAAAAATCCCAGAACCACACGGGGGGACCTAGTGAATGACCTGCAGAGAGCTGGGACCAAAGTAACAAAGCCTACCATCAGTAACACACTACGCCTCCAGGGACTCAAATCCTGCAGTGCCAGACGTGTCCCCCTGCTTAAGCCAGTACATGTCCAGGCCCGTCTGAAGTTTGCTAGAGTGCATTTGGATGATCCAGAAGAGGATTGGGAGAATGTCATATGGTCAGATGAAACCAAAATAGAATTTTTTGGTAAAAACTCAACTCGTCGTGTTTGGAGGACAAAGAATGCTGAGTTGCATCCAAAGAACACAATACCTACTGTGAAGAATGGGGGTGGAAACATCATGCTTTGGGGCTGTTTTTCTGCAAAGGGACCAGGACGACTGATCCGTGTAAAGGAAAGAATGAATGGGGCCATGTATCGTGAGATTTTGAGTGAAAACCTCCTTCCATCAGCAAGGGCATTGAAGATGAGCTGGGTCTTTCAGCATGACAATGATCCCAAACACCGCCCGGGCAACGAAGGAGTGGCTTTGTAAGACGCATTTCAAGGTCCTGGAGTGGCCTAGCCAGTCTCCAGATCTCAACCCCATAGAAAATCTTTGGAGGGAGTTGAAAGTCTGTGTTGCCCAGCGACAGCCCCAAAACATCACTGCTCTAGAGGAGATCTGCATGGAGGAATGGGCCAAAATACCAGCAACAGTGTGTGAAAATCTTGTGAAGACTTACAGAAAACGTTTGACCTGTGTCATTGCCAACAAAGGGTATATAACAAAGTATTGAGAAACTTTTGTTATTGACCAAATACTTATTTTCCACCATCATTTGCAAATAAATTCATTAAAAATCCTACAATGTGATTTTCTGGATTTTTTTCCCTCATTTTGTCTGTCATAGTTGACGTGTACGTATGATGAAAATTACAGGCCTCTCTCATCTTTTTAAGTGGGAGAACTTGCACAATTGGTGGCTGACTAAATACTTTTTTCCCCCACTGTATATCCAATTGCGATCCAATCTTGTCTCACCACTGCAACTCCCCAATGTGTCCTCTGAAACATGACCCACCAAGCTGCGCTGCTTCTTAACACCCGCTCGCTTAACCCGGAAGCCAGCTGCACCAATGTGTTGGAGGAAACACTGTTCAACTGACGACTGAAGTCAGCTTCCAGGCGCCCGGCCCACCACAAGGAGTCGCTAGAGCGTGATGAGCCAAGGAAAGCCCCTCGACCAAACCCTCCCCTAACCCGGACGATGCTGGGCCAATTGTGAGCCGCTCTTTGGGACTCCAGGTCACGGCCAGCTGTGACACAGCCTGGGATCGAACCCCAGACTGTAGTGATCCCTCAACACTGCAATGCAGTGCCTTAGACCGCTGTGCCACTCGGGAGGCCAGAGTTAGACAATTATAAATATTAAATTATGAAGTTATTATTTGATACGAGCATTGAAGATAAATCACTATCAGTAATCTTTTTTCACATTTTCTTACATTACAGCCTTATTCTAAAATTGATTTTAAAAATATTTCCTTATGAATCTACACACAATACCCCATAATGACAAAGCAAAAATAGGTTTTTAGAATTTTTTACAAATATATTAAAAAATTAAAAACGGAAATATCACATTTACATAAGTATTCAGACCCTTTACTCAGTACTTTGTTGAAGCACCTTTTGCAGCGATTACAGCCTTGAGTCTTCTTGGGTATGATGTTACAAGCTTGGCACACCTGTATTTGGGGAGTTTCTCCCATTCTTCTCTGCAGATCCTCTCTCAAGCTCTGTCAGGTTGGATGGGGAGCGTCGCTGCACAGCTATTTTCATGTCTCTCCAGAGATGTTAGATCGGGTTAAAGTCTGGGCTCTGGCTGGGCCACTCAAGGACATTCAGAGACTTGTCCTGAAGCCACTCCTGCGTTGTCTTGGCTGTGTGCTTAGGGTTGTGTCCTGTTGGAAGGTGAACCTTTGCCCCAGTCTGAGGTCTTGAGCGCTCTGGAGCAGGTTTTCATCAAGGATCTCTCTGTACTTTGCTCCATTCATCTTTCCCTTGATCCTGACTAGTCTCCCAGTCCCTGCCGCTGAAAAACATCCCCACAGCATGATGCTGCCACCACCATGTTTCGCTGTAGGGATGGTGCCAGGTTTCCTCCAGACGTGACGCTTGGCATTTAGGCCAAAGAGTTCAATCTTGGTTTCATCAGACCAGAAAATCTTGTTTCAGGGTCGGAGAGTCCTTTAGGTGCCTTTTGGCAAACTCCAAGCGGCTGTCATGTGCTTTTTACTGAGGAGTGGCTTCCATCTGGCCACTCTATCATAAAGGCCTGATTGTTGAAGTGCTGCAGAGATGATTGTCCTTCTGGAAGGTTCTTCCATCTCCACAGAGGAACTCTGGAGCTCTGTCAGAGTGACCATCGGGTTCTTGGTCGCCTCGCTGACCAAGGCCCTTCTCCCCCAATTGCTCAGTTTGGCTGGGTGGACAGCTCTAGGAAGAGTCTTGGTGGTTCCAAACTTCTTCCATTTAAGAATGACGGAGGCCAGTGTGTTCTTGGGGACCTTCAATGCTGCAGAAATGTGTTAGTACCCTTCTCCAGAACGGTGCCTCGACACAATCCTGTCTCTAAGCTGTATGGACAATTCCTTCGACCTCATGGCTTGGTTTTTGCTTTGACATGCACTGTCAACTGTGGGACCTTATATACACAGGTGTGTGCCTTTCCAAATCATGTCCAATCAATTGAATTTACCACAGGTGGACTCCAATCAAGTTGTAGAAACATCTCAAGGATGATCAATGGAAACAATTTTGAGTCTCATAGCAAAGGGTCTGAATACTTATGTAAGGTATTTCTTTTTTTATTATTTTTTATTGGCAAACATTTCTAAAAACCTGTTTTAGCTTAGTCATTATGGGGTACTGTGTGTAGATTGGTGAGGGAAAAATATAATTTAATCAATTTCAGAGTAAGGCTGTAACGTGACAAAATGTGGAAAAAGTCAAGGGGTCTGCATACTTTCCGAATACACTGTAGGTGGTTGACAACACTCCTGCATCTATACGGTACTATATCACCCATATCAATGACAGATCCATTATCATATATATGAATCTTGACCCTTCACCTCTGTCTTTCGCAGGTGTCCATGAATTGTGACTACGTGTTTGTGAACGGGAAGGAGACACGGGGCTCAATGAACGCCCGGGTCATCTTCAGCTACGAGCACCTCAGTGCCCCCCTGGAGCTGACCGTGTGGGTGCCCAAACTCCCCCTCCAAGTGGAACTGTCCGACAGCAACCTGAGCTTCATCAAGGGCTGGAGGGTACCCATTCTTCCTGACCGCAGGTAGGACTCGCCCACACACGAAACACATCAAACACTGCTGTTTTGATGTTTCTTTTACTGAATTTGAGGTTACTGTATCATCTGTCATGTATCGTCTCAATTGTGCACCCCATGTTTTGATTGTGTCATATGTTACATGTTGTGGTGGCAGAATTTGGGGTGAGCTGTTGTAACTTCTCAAGGTTTATTCTCTGTTCTGTGATGAACTGCATTTCATAGACTCCTGTTATGTTTGCACCCTAACACAAGGCCATAATGTTCTGGGACTGTTGCTTGTTTAAATAAACTGTTGTGTAACAAATAGGATTGTATTATCACCTTCTATATGAGAGACATGCAACCATCTCCCCTCCGAGTTCTTCCCTGACTGTGATCAGTGACAGATCTCCCCTGCAGCTGCTTGATTAAAGATGTATTATTACACTGTAAAAAGTCACTGCCTAGATCTGTGGATCATGTTTTCCACAACAATGTCGTTCTAGGGACGGGATCGTAAGAAAACCTGCCTAAGCAATGTTTAGGCCTCTTAGCACAATTACTACCTGTGCACACATGTTTTATTAGAGTTTAAGCCAACCCATGGTTTCAAGTAATCAAACTTATCCCTCTTAAATAATTGAACTAAACTATGACGTTTGCTGAGAACAGGATGTTAAGCCAATTTTAGATCAGACTGACAATAAATTCATTGCATGTTTTTAGGGCCGGTTTCGCTTACACAGATTAAACCTAGTTTTGAAAAACCTATTTCAATAGAGATTTTCAATTGAGAATGGTTCTTAATCCTAGGCTTAATCAGTGTCTGGGAAATAGGCCCCTAGGGTTTCACATTTTCTGAACCATGAATCACAATTAACTATTGTGTATTCATATTTTGTAGGGAATATGAAAAAAACTTAACTACAGAAGGCTTTTTATGGTTGATTTTGTTATTGAATGGCAAGAGAATTGTATCACCAAATGTCATTACGCCATTTTGGCAAAACATTAAGCACTTACAGTTGAAGTCGGAAGTTTAGATACACTAACGTTGGAGTCATTAAAACTTGTTTCTCAACCACTCCACACATTTCTTGTTAACAAACTATAGTTTTGGCAAGTCGGTTAGGACATATACTTTGTGCATGACACAAGTCATTTTTCCAACAATTGTTTACAGACAGATTATTTCACTTATAATTCACTGTATCACAATTCCAGTGGGTCAGAAGTTTACATACACTAAGTTGACTGTGCCTTTAAACAGCTTGGAAAATTCCAGAAAATGATGTCATGTCTTTAGAAGCTTCTGATAGGCTAATTGACATCATTTGAGTCAATTGGAGGTGTACCTGTGGATGTATTTCAAGTCCTACCTTCAAACTCAGTGCCTCTTTGCTTGACATCATGGGAAAATCAAAATAAATCAGCGAAGACCTCATAATAAAAATTGTAGACCTCCGCAAGTCTGGTTCATCCTTGGGAGCAATTTCCAAACGCCTGAAGGTACCACGTTCATCTGTAGTACGCAAACAATAGTACTCAAGTATAAACACCATGGGACCACGCAGCTGTCATACGGCTCAGGAAGGAGACGCGTTCTGTCTCCTAGAGATGAACATACTTTGGTGCGTAAAGTGCAAATCAATCCCAGAACAATAGCAAAGGCCCTTGTGAAGATGCTGGAGGAAACAGGTACAAAAGTATCTATATCCACAGTAAAACTAGTCCTATATCGACATAATCTGAAAGGCCGCTCAGCAAGGAAGAAGCCACTGCTCCAAAACCGCCATAAAAAAGCCAGACTAAGGTTTGCAACTGCACATGGGGACAAAGATCGTACTTTTTGGAGAAATGTCCTCTGGTCTGATGAAACAAAAATAGAACTGTTTGGCCATAATGACCATTATGTTTGGAGGAAAAAGGGGCTTGCAAGCCGAAGAACACCATCCCAACCGTGAAGAACGGGGGTGGCAGCATCATGCTGTGGGGGTGCTTTGCTGCAGGAGGGACTGGTGCACTTCACAAAATAGATGGCATCATGAGGAAGGAAAATTATGTGGATATATTGAAGCAACATCTCAAGACATCAGTCAGGAAGTTAAAGATTGGTCGCAAATGGGTCTTCCAAATGGACAATGACCCCAAGCATACTTCCAAAGTTGTGGCAAAAAATGGCTTAAGGACAACCAAGTGAAGGTATTGGAGTGGCCTTCACAAAGCCCTAACCTCAATCCTATAGAAAATGTGTGGGCAGAACTGAAAAAGCGTGTGCGAGCAAGGAGGCCTACAAACCTGACTCCGTTACCCCAGCTCTGTCAGGAGGAATGGGCTAAAATTCACCCAACTTATTGTGGGAAGCTTGTGGAAGGCTACCCGAAACGTTTGACCCAAGTTAAACAATTTAAAGGCAATGCTACCAAATACTAATTGAGTGTATGTAAACTTCTGACCCACTGGGAATGTGATGAAAGAAATAAAAGCTGAAATAAATCATTCTCTCTACTATTATTCTGATATTTCACATTCTTAAAATAAAGTGGTGATCCTAACTGACTGATTTTTTACTAGGATTAAATGTCAGGAATTGTGAAAAAGTGAGTTTAAATGTATTTGGCTAAGGTGTATGTAAACTTCCGACTTCAGCTGTACGTAGATGTTTGCAATGTGGTCAGAACAAGGACAAAAAAACTGCACTGTGTATTAAACTTTTTTAGTGTGTTATTTTTTACAATATTAATTTTGCAGTAATTGAATGGTCTTTTATTTAGTCCCCCCCCCCCCCCCCCCCCCTTTCTCTCTCTCTCTCGCTCTCTCTCTCGCTCTCTCTAAAACACAATGCTGTTTAAGCCCTAAGTTTTATCAAGGGCAGGTGTCTTGTACCGCAGTGTGTGTTCGCTACTTTGCCGCATTGCTCACTGGCTGTGTTATCCAGTAATGGGTTCTAAAAGAGGAAAAAAAGGGGTAAACTCTCTCTGACCTGTGCGAGAGTCATGAAACTCAATGAAGAGAGTCACACTTTCTCTTGGGTTTACCCTAGTCTTAACTGAACGCTCGTCTACACTCTCGTCTCTCAACTGCCATTGCGGCTTTGTTGTACAAGATGAGAAACACAGGCGAACAGCACATTTTAGCCTTAAATGTCTAGCATTAGCCAGCCAGGGGACGTGATGCATGTTCGAATATTTTCAGACCTTTTAGGGAACACGGGACGAGCCTGCTTGATATTCAGGCGGGCTCCTGGAATCAATGGATGGTATATGCTTTGTTAGTCACTAACTGCTCACTGCCGCTCCTGCTTCTCAAGTTATCCAAAAGGAAAAGTCAAAGCAAAGATTAATTAGCCTTGGAAACAGAAGAGGGCTTTTTAGCATTTGGGGAAAGCCTGCAGCTTGTCAGACTGCTGAGGAAAGAACGGAAGACACACGTCCAAGTCGTTTTTGGAGGACTTTTGTGCCGGCTTGTAGTACTTTTCCCTCAGAAAGGGCACATTGGAACAGACACTGTAACAAATGTCCTCCATATGGATTAGTGTTGGGCCTCTCATCACATCAAGTGCTATGATTTTAATTATATAATGATAAGAAGCAATGAATAACATAATCTCCCGAAACAGGACGCAGGATTTAACTACACGACAGCATCTTCCACAAACATATTAAGTAAACATTATGCATCATTAAAGGTTATGATGAACTGCTGAAGCTGTTTAGTAAATACTAAAGCAAATACATTTTTATATATTTCCCCTTTGTTGTAAACTTTGACAATGGTTACAGTTTTGAGATGGATATTGACACTGGTATTGACACTGGTAATGGAATTGATACTGGCAACGATATTGACCATGGTTACGGTATTGATACTAACATCATTGACCATTTGTCACCCCCCTCTCTCTATCAGGAGCGCCAGAGACAGTGACACGGATGACGACGAGGATGACCGGCGGGTGAGTCGGGGCTGCACCCTGCAGTACCAGCGCACCCTGGTCAAGGTGCTGACCCAGTTCCACACCACCTCCACCGAGGGCACCGACCAGGTCATCACCATGCTGGGGCCCGACTGGCAGGTGGATGTGACCGACCTGGTGCAGGATTCGCTGAAGGTGGTCGACCCCAGGATAGCCGAGCTGGTGGACCACACTGTGCTGGTGGGCCTGGAGCTGGGGTCCACTGTACTGAAGGTATAGAACCTTGACTAGTTCTCCGAAGTATGAAAAGTGAAGTAGCTTCTTTCAATTTGATTCACTGTGCTGAAGTTAAAGAACATTGGCTAGGTCTCCAAAGTCTGAGAAATGAAATAGCTTTTTTTCAATTGTCTCCTTTACTTAATTGATGTTCTTGCACTCAAAAACGTTATAGGCTAGGGCCATAGAGGCAAATAGTAACTTGACACTGAGGTAGAGTGTTTGGATCACACTTGACCAAAGTGCAGATGTAATAGGCAGAAGCGCTTGGTGAGTGCGAGACAATATCTTTTCTGCTTCATGCACACTGACCTAGACAAAGTGGACATGTGAAAGCGAGAAAAGTAGAACTCTTCCTCATTGCATACACCCATTTCGTATTTGTAAAGGAAGCCTCTACGATGATTAAATGATAAATGAGATCTGTCCGTGGTCGTCCTTCCTTTTAAAGATGGCTCCATCTGCATAGGCATTTACTCTATATGGGCATCCGCCTAGTCTCCCACTGTGCATTTTACCAGCTTTACCAACCTGAGTGATCAATGGCTTAGAAAACCAAACGTATTGAAGGCTGGGAGAAATTAAAATATCTCGAGCTTATAGCATACTTTATGGTGCACAAGGATGCTGGACCTGTCTGTCCAAGAAAATTAATAGAAGCCTAGAACAAAAGTGAATTGTTAATACTGCCCTTCAAAGGCAAAACTAAGTAACTATGAATTTGGTCAAAAATATTTTATCTGTTGTAATGGCCAGGTATATTATCTGATTAATGTGGTATTTAGTTTCCTGACACAAGAACAAGCCAATTGATCAGAATATATCATGGAGAATCATAAGTTGCTGTCTGTCTAGACAGAAATATACTTTTAAGTCAGATTTTCCAGAAGAAGAAAAAATACGTAGTTACTATGTTTTGCCTTTGTAGGGCAGAATAGTTCCTTATTTTTTTAAGATATCAATGCCAAACTTCACATGGTTCATCATGGTAGTCTTTGATGACCCTTAAATGTTTCAAGTTGATAGGCCATTGTGAAGTGGATTTAAATGGACACGTAAAATCTGATTTCCTGATTTATCAATAACTCAGCCTTCTCTTAACCAACTAAGAGGTGTACCATGGGCCTGCATACCAAATTTGGTGTAAGTACTGCACTACGAAAGGCGTAAGAGTCAGATGTTGTATTGTTTACACAGTTGTGAGAGACATTACTTTCTCACTCAATTAGTCTATATACACTATATATACAAAAGTATGTGGACACCCCTTCAAATTAGTGGATTGGCTATTTCAGCCACAGCCATAGACAAACATTGGCGGTAGAATGACCTTACTGAAGAGCTCGGTGACTTTCAACGGGGCACCGTCATAGGATGCCACCTTTCCAACAAGTCAGTTCGTCAAATTTCTGCCCTGCTAGAGCTGCCCCGGTCAACTGTAAGTGCTGTTATTGTGAAGTGGAAACGTCTAGGAGGAACAACGGGACCGCCGGGTGCTGAAGTGCGTAGCGCGTAAAAATCGTCTGTCCTCGGTTGTAACACTCACTACCGAGTTCCAAACTGCCTCTGGAAGCAACATCAGCACAAGAACTGTTCGTTGGGAGCTTCATGAAATGGGTTTCCATGGCCGAGCAGCCGCACACAAGCCTAAGATCACCATGCGCAATGCCAAGCGTCGGCTGGAGTGGTGTAAAGCATGCCGCCATTGGACTCTGGAGCAGTGGATATGCGTTCTCTGGAGTGATGAATCACGCTTAACCATCTGGCAGTCCGACGGACAAATCCGGGTTTGGCGGATGCCAGGAGAACGCTACCTGCCCCAATGCATAGTGCTAACTGTAAAGTTTGGTGGAGAAGGAATAATGGTCTGGGGCTGTTTTTCATGGTTCGGGCTAGGCCCCTTAGTTCGAGTGAAGGGAAATCTTACATACAATGACATTCTAGACGATTCTGTGCTTCCAACTTTGTGGCAACAGTTTGTGGAAGGTACTTTCCTGTTTCAGCATGACAATGCCCCCGTGCACAAAGCGAGGTCCATACAGAAATGGTGTGTCGAGATCGGTGTGGAAGAACTTGACTGGCCTGCACAGAGCTCTGACCTCAACCACATCGAACACCTTTGGGACGCCGACTGCGAGCCAGGCGTAATCACCCAACATCAGTGCCTGACCTCACTAATGCTCTTGTGGCTGAATAGAAGCAAGTCCCCGCAGCAATGTTCCAACATCTAGCGGAAAGCCTTCCCAAAAGAGTGGAGGCTGTTATCGCAACAAAGGGTGGACCAACTCCATATTGAATGCCCATGATTTTGGAATGAGATGTTCGACGAGCAGTGTCACATACTTTTGGTCATGTAGTGTATACTATATACAGTGCATTCAGAAAGTATTCATACTCCTTGACCTATTCCAAATTTGGTTGTGTTACAGCCTGAATTCAACATGGATAAAATATATTGTTTGCTCACCTATCTACACACAATACCCCATAATGACAAAGTGAAAACACGTTTTTAGACATTTTTGCAAATTTATTGAAAATGAAATACAGAAATACCTAATTCACATAAGTTTTACAGCCCTGAGTCAATACATGTTAGAATCACCTTTGGCAGAAATTATATCTGTGAATATTTCTGGGTAAGACTCTAAGAGCTTTGCACACCTGGATTGTACAATATTTGCACATTATTATTTAAAAAATACTTCATGTTCTGTCAAGGTGGTTGTTGATTATTGCTAGACAGCCATTTTCAAGTCTTGTCATAGATTTTCAAGCCGATTTAAGTCAAAACTGCAACTAGGACACTCAGGAACCTTCCATGTTGTCTTTGTAAGCAACTCCAGTGTATATTTGGCCTTGTGTTTTAGGTTATTGTCCTGCTGGAAGGTGAATTTGTCTTCCAGTGTCTGTTGGAAAGCAGACTGAACAAGGTTTACCTCTAGGATTTTGTCTGTGCTTATCTCTATTCCGTTTCTTTTTATCCTTAAACACTCCCTAGTCCTAGTGGGACTCAGTGATGTGTTGTGTTGGATTTGCCCCAAACATAGCGCTTTGTATTCAGGACTTTAAGTTCATTTCTTTGCCACATTTTTTGAAGTGTTACTTTAGTGCTTAATTCCAAACAGGATGCATGTTTTGGAATATTTGTATTCTGTTCAGGCTTCCTTATTTTCACTCTGTCATTTAGGTTAGTATTGTGAAGTAACTACATTGTTGTTGATCCATCCTCAGTTTTCTCCTATCACAGCCATTAAGCTCTGCAACTGTTTTAAAGCCACCATTGGCCTCAAGTTTCCTTCCTCTCCGGCAACTGAGTTAGGAAGGACGCCTGTATCTTTGTAGTGACTGGGTGTATTAAAACACCATCCAAAGTGTAATTAAAAACTTCACCATGCTCAAAGGGATATCCAATGCCTGCTTCTTTTTATTTTTACCCATCTACCAATAGGTGATTTTTACCCATCTACCATCTACCGATGTTCGTGAGGCATTGGAAAACCTCCCTGGTCTTTGTGGTTGAATCTGTGTTTGAAATTCACTGCTCGACTGAGGGACCTTACAGATAATTGTATGTGTGGGGTACAGAGATAAGGTAGTCATTCAAAAATCATGTTAAATACTATTATTGTACACAGAGTGAGTCCATGCAACTTATTATGTGACTTGTTAAGCACAAAGCTTTTCATTTGTAATTCATTTGTAAAAATGACTAAAAACATAATTACACTTTGACATTAAGGGGTATTGTGTGTAGGCCAGTTCAGGCTGTAACACAACAAAATGTAGAGAAAGTCAAGGGGTGTGAATACTTTCTGAAGGCACTGTATACATGTTTTATCTTTCTCCTTGTCGAAGATAAAAGCTTTCTGTTTCCTGCTAATGGCTTAGAAGAGACAGGAGCCATTGCCTGTGTCCCAAATGGTACCCTATTCCCTATTCAGTGCAATCCTTTTGACTAGGGCCCATAGACATTGTTGAGGTGCACTTATAACACCAATTTCTGTCAGCTCCACGCTTGTGAGGGAACACTTGATAATGGTTATTAGTACAGGAGAAGTGCATCCTAACCTATGAGCCCATGTACTGCATGTAGCTACTGTATGAACCTACTGTATGTGTGGTATATGAGTCACATTTTGTGTTACATAAGCTTTGACCTAGATACAATCCAATAGTTACTTTATTTAAAACAAAATGTAAATTAATGTTTTACTGAAACACTTAGTACTAGCCTACCCATCAGAAACCATAGCAGTCGTCCATGTGTATGCCTAGGATTATTTCTACCTTTTTCTATTTTTGTTTGTTGTAATTACACATTTCATTGTGAATCAATTATCCACATTAGAGCTCAGTTATTCACCCTGATAATTTTCTGCTATCGCGTCTGCTACTCAAATGAGTCAGAAAACACAGGTACATAACACAATCCGCCTAATTCAAAAAAACGGTTCTGCTGCGAGTGCTTCATCATTCAACTGAATTCCCCTCCTTTCGTGAAACTTTATAAGTCATGTAGTCATCTACTTTTATCCCCTGCTGTTACATTTTCAGGAGTGTAGGGGAGAAGAATAAGTGTGCTGTATAGAGATGGACGGCCAATGAACTGGAACTCTACTTTTCAGCACGTTAGTTAAATTTGATCCTGATAATATGCATCTGGGAGTCACTGACGGCAGACCTTGGGATCAGAAGCAGACAGCATTGTCCTCTCTGGTGGCATATGCGGCCGGTGACGTCAAGCCGCTTTGTGAGGCATCATAAAAAGGAGCTAAAAAGCATGGGATACGCTGCACTGTGCTTTTCTATGTCCACGTCACCTTCCCAGACAGTCCAGCCTTTTCAGTGCACTGTCATCAACAGATTGGGATGACAACTCTATCTCTGTGCCAAAGGGCTCTTACTACTTCTGAGTTGCTGTTTTGAAGAGGGAGAAGGGCTGTGATGATGGTCTATCTGCAAAAAAAGTTTAACATACACCTGTATGCAGATGACACTGT